TGACATTTAGGCAGTAATTTGAATGAACTAATTACAGTAAAAGCGAGACGTAATGTACCGTTCTCGGCCTGCACATGCCCCACATCTTTGGTAGCATCATCTTGCAAATCTCCTCTGCCATCAGCCTCATCTGCATGTTTATTTTCTTTCAGAAAAGCAGCATAAGCGAACGGGTCTGCCAGTTTCCCCAAAGCGATCTCTCACGCAATAAATTTTCTAGCAATGCCAACATCAAACTGTACATACATTCAGAAACAATGTTAGGGGCAATAAAGTGAGGTTATGTTATGCGCAACACAAGGAGTTTGTGCACCTACAACTTGTGGTCGACATCCCATTGCCCAGCATTGCGTAAACTTCAAGCAAAAAACCCCACAACTTGCTGCATCTTTCTGTTTAAGTTGGTGTTTTACACGAATAAATGTCCAAGGGCCTTTTTCATGAAAAATTTTCATCAAGATCCATTCCTAAAAACAGATAGAAATACAGCAAAATGTAATGTTAGGAATATGTAATAGTTGTTTCATATGGAGCTAAGTAAGTATTTTGAAGTATACTTACCACAGACTGCATTAAACCCTGGTAGAATGTGTTGTAATTGTGCATAGAATCAACTATGTACACTTCTTTCTCCTTCACATGTGCAATCATGAGAAACCAATGATTGGAATAAATGATTGGGAAAAAATATGCAATCGCACACAACAATTCGGGTAGAGTGTGTTAAAAGCTATGGAATATTAGGTTGCATCCAATTAAACTAAACAAATAGCTGCTACATTTTTCTATAACAGTTGCATCGAGAGTGATAACTAATGTTTATCTTTTCAGGATTTTTCATGGAGTCGGCATTGGTTTCATCAACAAATGTCTTCTTGGTACTGAGAGATATGCATGGATAGTCTAACACGCATTTCAACTACAATTCAAAGTAAATGACAAACAAGTCTTAGGTATACATTTTGCAATCCACAACAGCATATATAGAAATTTTCTTTACGTACCCAGAACATAGGAGTAAAGAAAACAAATTGTTGATATTGTCTCTGGAGTAAGTGAAGGTATTGGGTCATGACCTTCAAATAATGGAACAAATTCAGACATTCAATACAATGTGTGAATACAAAGACAGGTTGTGAAGAAACTATTTGTGTGCAATCGAATAAACAAATTAACCTTGTCATTGAGATATTGCTCATCATGCATGATGAGCTCCAATTCTTGTCTTGTAATATCAAAGAGATGCTGCTTATCTAGCACACTGACATAGCTGTGTACAAGATGCAGAAGATTACAATAAGCAGGTTAAAGTGATATCAGTGTTATCTATTAAGAGTACCGAGTCTTTCACATACATCTGAGGAACGAGTTCTCTAAAATGGAAGAATACAGCTTCTTTCAAATCCTCATGTGCTACGCCAGAACCTTCTGGCTTACACTACACAATAAAGGAATTAGCATATAAAAAATTAAGTTAAGAAAGCGCAATGAGCATGTCTTACATCTGGTAGAAATGGCAATGTCACAAATCCAAACTCTTTCACTCCGATGGCACCGTCCTTTCGTAAAATTTGGACCACTTTTTGTTCAACCTAGTAATACAACAATTAGGTTATCCAACTGGGTTACTTGAGAAGAAGATTGAAAAAGGAGTAAAATAGCATTTTCACATACACTATTCTGAAATCTAGCAACTTGAGAAAGTATAACAACATCTTCAACGTCTTCCTTATCTCTCACAACCGGGAGCATCTCGACCCCAGCACACTCCCCCCTTTATCCAATACTTTTGTTTCTTGAACTTTTTTATTTTCATCCCCACTCTGACCAATGACAACAGGAATAGTGCTAAATTTCTTCCACATCCAACTCCCATCTTCAGTTTTGAATGCCAGTTTCTTGAAGTACGATACTCCCATTTTCTAACCATAAAATCCTTTGTCGATATGGTCAACATAAAAAGGCACGCTAAACCGCCTAAAGATCCTGGTCAGCAATATACCAAAAGGGAGATGGGTTTTCTTATTCTCCCTACTCTTAATCTTCCTAATCTTGTTGAACATTGTTGCAATGATCAATTTGCCTATGTTCACAGGTTGTTTGTGTAAGAAATGCCACAATATAACTCTTTTCACTGCACTAACGAAACTGATAGTTCCAGTTTTAGGTACAATGTTATGAGTTATTACCAGATGTAGCAGCCTTGGCAACACTTTCAAATCAGGCCTATAAAATTTACTTTTTTTACCCATGTTCATTATTTTGTCACCATTTTGGCGAATTTCTCGCAGAAATTCTGTCACTGTACCCGTCTACAGCAACCTTATCAACGTTCTGCACTAATCTGTTTATATTGAACAGTGTATCCACCATCAACCAAACCAAACTCTGAAACCAAAACCTCACTAGATAGCTCGATTTGTATATTCGTAACCATTGAACGCACAACAGACTTCTGCTTATTTGCACTACAGTTGGCGTAGAATTCTCTGACCAGTCCATCATAGCATTTATCATTATTTGCCAGCAAATTCAACAAATTTTGGGCAGGAAGATATTCGCTTATATCAATACACTCACTACTGAGTGCTTCTACATCTACCCACATACCTGCAGAGACAGGAAGACTCAAGCAGGCCTTCATATTCGCAACTACGTCTGCTTCGAGATGCGATTTCAATTCTTGAGTACAATCAGCTGATATTTAAAGAAGCGAACGCTTTAAAACTGATTTGCCGTCGCCTTGCCTCCTAAACTGCTTGAAACTGCTCAAAATTTGAGAAGGGGAGAAAACTTAAACCGCAGCTTTTGAGAAAGTATGAACAACAAGCGAGCTCTTTATGGGTCGTAAGAGCGAAAAAACACTTCGTGCGTGAATAAGACCAGCTTTCTGTGGGATAATTGAACAGGCGGGAACGAGTTTGAATGGGATTCAAACCCAATTCAGCCTTCTAATTTTCAACTAAAATTATTTGAAAGCCAAATATCGATTTGGTATTTGTGCGTGTATTCGTAAGCGGGTTATGTGCACACCACGCTCTGTTCGGATTTAGGTGGGGTTTTTTTTTGGAAAATTAGGAAACGGCTCTAATCCAACAAATGAATTAGCTCATATGAAAGAAAGGGTACTTGGATAGTTTTGGCGAAAAGCGGTTAAATAGCTGGTGTTTTATTGGAGAAAGGGGTTATAATACATTTGTATTTAAGGCAAAAAGGTACTCTATTTTTTAAATGTACGAAAGCCATAAAGAGCAGGCATTTTATTCAACAGCGGGTCTGTATTGAGAAATGGATTTTTTTTCGATAAACAAATTTATGTATGAAAAAATGGGTACTCTGTGATTTGTTTTGAGGAAAGCCATAAAGAGCTGGTCTTTTCCTGAAAAATAAAATTTTTTTGTTTTATCCAAAAAAAAATTTGGGAGGTTGGAAACTGATTACCCTGTTGTTATAATGGAGGAAATCCACAAAGAGTGAAGTGAGTTATTGAAAAATGGATTTATTGTTATTTTATTTGACAAATAAATTTATTTATCGGCAAATGGGTACTCTGTTGTATTCATGAAGGAGGAAACCCATAAAGAACTGGTCTTTTATTGGGAAATTATACTTTATAGGAAGTGGCCGCGAGTTGGTTTATGAAATTATCCCATATAAAAATTTATAATAAATTTGTTTGTTTTGACAACATCACTTACGCCACGTGTTAACGAAAGCCATAAAGAGTTGGTATTTTCCTGAAAAATTGAATTTGTTTGTTTTATCCACAAAATAAATTTGTTCATGGGAAACTAATTACCCTGTTGTTATAATGGAGGAAAGTCATAAAGAACTAGTCTTTTATTGCAAAATGAATTTATTGTTATTTTATTCGACAAATAAATTTATTTACCGGCAAATGGATGAAGCCTGTTGTTATGAAGGAGGAAACCCATAAAGAGCTGGTCTTTTACCAGAAAATTATACGGTTCGTAACTCGTGGCCGCGGTTTGGTTTATGAAATTATCCCAAATAAAAATTTATAATAAATTTGTTTGTTTTGACAACATTACTTACACCACATTGGAACGAAAGCCATAAAGACCTGGTATTTTTTTGGAATATGGGATTTTTTTGTTTTATCCAAAAATAAGTTTGTTCACGGGAAACTGATTACCCTGTTGTTATAATAGAAGAAAGGCATAAAGAACTGGGTTTTTATTGGAAAATGGATTTATTGTTATTTTATTCGACAAATAAATTTATTTACCGGCATATGGGTGAAGCCTGTTGTTATGAAGGAGGAAACTCATAAAGAGTTGGTCTTTTATCGGTGAATTATACGGTTCGTAACTCGTGGCCGCGATTTGGTTTATGAAATTATCCCAAATAAAAATTTATAATAAATTTGTTTGTTTTGACAACATTATTTACGCCACATTGGAACGAAAGCCACAAAGAGGTGGATATATATTTTCATTTAGTCTTATCCTTTCATTTTTCCCAGTCTATACATTTTGTACTTAAGGACCATGGGTGCTGTGTTCTTGTTATGTAGGAAATCCGTAAAGAGCCGGTATTTTATTGGTGTAACTAAGGTCTCCGATGTGGTTTAAAACCTAAAATACATCTGCAACAGAATTAAATAGTTATACTCGTGAAATGAGATGAATAAACTTTTTCCAATAAGATTCAAGTGGCGTACGAATGTTTTTCCTTCTGTTAACACGGAGAAGGGAGTACATCTTCATTCTTGTAGCTAGTTATGCTCTCTGGATATGCTTATTATTTGTCAGCTTGCTCAGATTTTGCTTGCATAGATAAAATTTTTTTTTTCAACTAATCTAACACCATTACTTATGTATTTAATAAAGTTCTAACTTCAGTAGAGTAACCATACAGATTTTCAATACTTTATATCAAAAGCGTAAGATATATGGATGTGAATTCAGTTCATAAACATAAGGAATTTGTAGGTGGTTACAAAGTTGTGCATAAAATGGATTTGCAAAGATTGAAACTTACACAATAAATGGAGGTAAGGCATCACAAATTGTTGCAATTTCATCATCACAAGCACAGCCTTCACATGTGATGTCCTCTTCATCAATTTCATGCATAGGCCATGAACATCTACGACTGTTATGCTGCATGCCATAACAAATGGGCCTTTGGCTTAGAACCACAGGATTTTGTACCCAAATCCTCCTCAGAATCCTTCGCAAACTGTCACGGCAATGTTTCACTTTCCGTTTTTGAGTTTCTGATTTCTTCATGCCGCTAATCAGAGTCATACCTTTCGGATTTAAGTGGTCCCCACCAAAGAGGAAAATTATTCCCAAGGCATAGGCAGCTTCGTCGTGGCCTGATTGCGCAGCTTCGTCGTGGCATTCCAATGCTGCTTCCACATTCTTGCCTCTAAAATAATCAACCTAAGCAGTTCACGGTTGAAAGTACAATAAATGTTACGTAAAACATATTGAAATATTTACAAGACAATGAAAATGAAAAACTGCGGGGAACAGTGGCTTCAAGTGAACACAAAAAATTACTACACTTTGGGTATGCATAAACAATTCCTTCTAACAAAATAGATCAATCCATGATCTCTTTTGTTTCTTGCTTCTTACTTTCCAAAGAAACCCAAGTTGTCGAAGTGCAGAGCTAGAATTATAATGTCATAGACTAAGTTGTTCATTTCTAGCTTGAATGTAAAAAGCAGAATAAAATGAAGCAAATTGCCAAAAACCATGATGCCTACCACCCCTTTCCGATACAAGGCTTCTGGATTTTTACTTTGTCTACACTTCTTCAAGAATTTGGACACTCTATGATTTTTATGCCATGGAACGATTTCAAACTTGTCCAAGGACACGCGCTGGTAAACATTGTTGCCTTCCAAAACTTCGGAAAACAGCTTACAGCTACAATATAAGAATCGTGATCCATTAAACTCAGAAGAAAATGACATGTTTTGCAAAATTAAGGCTGCTCATGTTTCTATCATCAATAGCTGAATGTACCATAGTTTTGCCCAGAAAAGATCAGTGGATGAAGAAGCCGCGACACGTGCAAGAACATCAGCTAGCACCTCTCTCGGAAGGGAGGAGATGGAGGCTATTGTCGGCAAATTTTGTTCGTTGGCCATGCCGGGTTGCCTCCTTTTCTTGGTTGCAGAGTATTCCGGGTAGCACCAAGAATGATGTAAAATTTGATCCACCACTATTTCCTAATAAAATGAAATAATGATTGAACAAGCGTAATGTCTTAAAATATGTTCATTCGTAGATAACAGTAACGGTTTCAAGAAAGTAAGCTTCATTAGTTTTGCAATTAATTTCCAAAATGGAATAGGATTGTAGAAGCTTCAAATAGGATATGAAATTGTTCTGTTTTTGCTATCTGGATTAATTAAGGAATCTTTTACAACAAAACAAAAATAAAAAGGAATTTGCTGAGGCAGTGGAGTGGGAAATGTACCATTGCATCAGTTCAACTACAGTGCATATTTTGACAATTACATTATTTTTTGTTTCCACGATATGAAGTGCTCAGACATAACTTTTGGGGAGCGTCTCACCATAGCAACAAACCAACACAAGCAGGAAAATGGCGATTTGTACTCAAGACGAAATATCAAACACACGTGCAAAAACCACAGCACAAAATTTTTTTAAACACAACAAATTCTACACCGGTAGCAAATCAGTTAACACCATTAAAGTACAGGACGATAGTTATGCAATACGTGCAGAAACAACGTAAGCAGGACATATTGATAACCACCTAGGATCCAAGAACGTACCTGCAATCGAATGTGAAAAACGAAATTCAAAACTTGCTAACAGCGCTTTGCAGACGGGGTCCGCGGGGTAATGGTCAAGCAGAAAGTCGCATCGCTTTGATATATACCCGCCTGACTCCTCAGCTACTGCCACGGACGTCCTTTCATGGACCCCATTTCGCTTATCTCCCACCCATAAAATCTGTTGACTAATTCACTAATTCACTAATTATGTAATTAATTAACCCACTGCACTAATTTCTGTTTATCTAATTATCTAATTGTCTGATTATCTAATTAACTAGTTAACTAAAATTGATGTGTGTCCGAAACTTACAAAATATTTGCACCTAAACCTAATTAACTAGTTCACTGCTTAACTAATTATCTAGCTAATTATCTAATTAATTGTTTAACTAATTAAATTTTTTGTGTTTATCTAATTAACAAATTAACTACTTATCTAATCAATCCCCTATTTTTGGGGTGTTTTTCAAAGAACTCATTTTTCAAATACAATAAACAATTTTTTAAAAGTACTCTAAGAGGTTAAAGGGTTTAGGAATCACAGAATGGAATAAACCCCTTATTTATTGCTTGGGTTAAGCCTATTGGAATGTAATTTTTGGAATCATTTCTTAAAAATCGGACATTGCCCCATTTTCGGGCAAATTGGGGGGTTTTGGACAAAATTCACAACTTATTTCCTTAGACAACATTTGTGACGGACCTACCCTCTCTTTCTCTCCATCACATGTCGCACCTTCTGTTCTTCTTCTTCATCAGATTTCCTATAAAGAGCTGGTATGTTAACCATAAACACAAAACATGTGTGGCTGGTATGTTATGGGCAGTTTTTTGTTAACTTTCACATATTTAATTTATGTTAAATACAAAACATACTGATTTTCCTTTGAACGCTATTTCCCATAAAGAGCTGATACAAAACATACTATCAAACCTGCCAGTTTTTCATAAACAGCTGGTATGTTGTATGCTATTTAACTCAATTCAGGTGTTTTATAAGAATTGATATATCAAGAGTAAATTTGGAATTTTATTGCATTTAATTCCGAAACATTCATCAAACCAAGGCATAATAAATTGGAATGATACTAATTCCAATGTATGAACCAAGTTTGATATTGGAATGAAAAGTTTAATTCGAAAACCAGAGTCTAGAATTCCATTTCCATTTCCAATTCCAATATGTGAAAAAAGCACCCCCTTAATTCAAATTTTTTAAAAATTTTAAAAAAAATCTCAACATACATTCTAAAAACTGTTCTATTTTTAAATATTCCAAAATATTATACACAGACCGTTCCCTGAAACGTCATTCATGGTAAAAAAACTAGGGAACGAGAGCTGAACATGGGGGGAAAGTAATTTGTTTAAAAAAAAAGACAAACCAAAGGGAGGGAAGGCTCATCACCCTTCGTATTTCAACTTCGAACGCGTGGATCGAAATGTAGCCAACTCCGGGTCCGCAAGGGGTCCAATTGTGCAGGCATTCATTAGTCTAAGGACCCGTTAGGTAAAATGGTTGCGAATGGGGGAGCGGTTTACATTGTATAACTAATATTTTTATAATAATGTATATATTTTATAACATTTGTATATTTACATTGGACTAAAATATTTAATGTACCTAGTTACACACAATTAATGATATTCTTATTAATTATACACAATTATGTCACGTCTATACATGTACGTAATCTAATTGATCAGTGGATTTTACTAATAATTATACATGTGTATTGATACAATCTATAAGTGTGTCATCTGCTCACTTGAATTTTTTTCACACCCGGAAAGAAAAACACCCCCCAACCAAAAGTGTCATTCGCACAAAACCTGATTTATTTGGACTCAATTGGCCTTTCCAATTCCCAATTTTCCCATCCATCATCGCCTGACCTTGGCCGCGGTTGGATTGCATTTTTTGTAACTGTTGATTTAGAAAGATTTACTAGAGCAATTTGAAATTCATTTACACAAATGGTGATAGGGTAACGTGTTCATGGACGACGTTGTAATAAGACACCTATAGTAATACTGTGATAATTTATGGTAAAAAAAGAACGCAACGGGTCCTCCAAAAGCAAACTTAGACAAAGCAATTAAATATTACAAATTATCTGTCAACAGTTTTCAACAACAGTTTTCGTAAAGTGCGGAAAATTTTATCACAATTACACAACACACGTGGCGATTGCAAGATTAGGGTTTTATGGGCCCTGGGTGCTCATCAACCAGCAATGTCAATAATCGTGACCTTTAGCTCAAACAAGCTCATCCGTAAATGTCAGTGTCCCGGCACTTGTGTTTCGACGCTTACATCCGAAGGTTTCCCGGCCAGCAATTCCACTGCCACGACAGTGTTTCCCTATCCGCTCTTGGAGCTTCAATGTACTTTGCAAAATGAGCTGTATTTGTTCTAGCCTTTGCTCCACCACATGTGTGTTCTGCGATACATTCGATGTTAAGCGAAATATTTCTGCATTTTTTTCTAAAACTTTCTTTTTCAGACCCATGCACTGTACAAGCAAGCCCTCATACTATTGTTTAGGCACCTAAGTGAAAAAAACACAGATGGCAGTATGAATTTTAAACAAATTGCTCAAACTTAATGACGGCTGAAGTACAGGAGGAAGAAGGCCATACCACATCACCAACAGCACCTGGAAGAGGCAACCCTAATACATCATCACCAACTCTGTGAATGCCCTCTTTCTCCAGTGATCTATCAGTTTGTATGCACATTACTGACCAGGGAGGGTAATTAATTGGATGTTTTAGTGACGGTGTTGCAGTCTCACTTAGTGGAAACTGGTCACATATATGAATTACGCACTCTTTGCCACTGGGTGACAAGGAGGACGAAGTCAGTGGTTTCATTAGCCTGTTGCGGACAAAATCGCCATATGTAGCATATGGCCCGACTCTTGGGTATAGACTTGCAATGGGCAGTCCATGAAGCACATCATGTAGCTGGTTTCTCGAAATTGTATCAGTGCTGTACATATCTGGTGGCCGATGAGGAGGTTGCTTTGCAGATACACCTGCATACACCTGCCTAATAACCCTCTCGTCAAGGTAGTAAAGTCTTCCCATGGGCCCATCCAAAATCAATCTCGTTGCAGTTAGTTCCTTCGATTTGAGATACCGATTCGGCATTTACATTGCAGCCCAGGGCAGCCAGTTGACCTGTGATACAGAATTAAAAAGCGATTTAACATTGCATTGTTCAAGAGGCGGAACTAAGTCGTAACAAATGTAAACACTTTCCCGCTCAAAACTAATGGATGTTCTGAGTACGGCAATAAACATTTTTTGGGTTGACGGTGTCAATAGTGCGGCGAAAATGTTCAACCGTAGACGGTGATTGTCGGATGCCTCTGTTGGATGAACGCCATCACCACATTCTGGGCAATATGTCCCTCTCTTCCTGTTTCAGTTTATACGGACTTAATTGAAGAATTTCATAAGCCCATACCTACACGTTGTTATACAAATTATGTCCACCATTGTAAATGAACAAGTAACTGCCACACCGTTGATATAACAGAACATGAAATTCTCCAAATGACAAAGCGTGAAGTCAATTTTGGACTTACCTCCCACACAAAACTGTAACCGCCAAGGCTTTTCATCAGGCGTCAGGAGACGGCAGACATAAATCTGTACAAGGTTGCCATCCCCGCCCCTCCCCAGTTATAATTCCCTATACGATCTACGTCCTCCAACGCAGACAGATACCACAGGTGAATTGTATCGCCCGTATTGCTAAGCAAAGTGCGGCCAAGCATGTATAGAAAGAAAGCTCTAGTCAGCTGTGGCAGCTGGACATCGTCGTTGTGGTCAATCATCTTGTCTTTGTAGAAAGACAATATATCGGTAACTCCGATCGCACCCCCAGAAGCAAAAGCTGGCACCCAACCCAATTGTTTCTCGATGTAATTGACATTTTCCTTAACATTATAATCCCACGGAATGGGCAAGCCGCCCACTGCAACACCGGTTATATAGGTGAAGTCCAACGGTGTCAGTGTCATCTCTCCGAAAGGCAAATGAAAGGAGTTTGTTGAGTCTCACCATCGCTCCGCAAGTGCGACAGGCAACTTTCTATCTCTATCGGCCACTGGCAATTGGCTCAAAAAATCCCCAAATCCAGCACTAACAACTTTGGCGGCCACCTTTAAAGGCAGCCTCTTCCACCACTCCATAATTTCCACTGACGACCCTCTAGGATAAATTGAGCAGACTTCCTGTGCAGTAATTTAGAACCAATTCAGCCATTTATTGTTACATGTAAACCAAATGAGAGGTTAGGGCTTGTAAGCAGAACTAATTAACGA